GCAGATGCTGAAGTGGCCCTCCGCGCTCGGGCTGCTTCGGGAACGCCGGGGTTCCACGCGCTCCTCCTCGAAATCGCATGGCCCGCGCTGGTCGCGCGCTTGTGAGGGTGCTGCCTGCATGGGCGGCGCAGAGGGAGTCGGCGTAGTCGGTGATAGATAGCACTGCGGGGCGGTCCGCGCGGATGATGCGGCCGCGGACGCGGCAGCACGCGCCCCATGCAAACGGCGCGGTCGCTGCGGATTCGCACGCGGCAGGCCGGGCGCACTTGGGGGTAGCTGGCGCGCGCTTGGGTCAGGCGGGCGCTGGGACGTCAATCGCCGCCTCTTGTTGTCGCGACCAGGGCTTGGCAGGGGCGGCGGCGAGGCGGGCGGCGCGCCCGCGAGTGGGCCTCCTGCATTTAGTGGCCGCGGCAGTGACACGGAAGCGAGTCGGAGATGCAGGGCGCAATAGTAAGTGCCATTGGAATGCGGTCTGAGGAGAGCGTCAAAGCCACGTGGACGCGGCGGCGGGCCAGCGATAGTGAGGGAGCACCGACGTCGGCGGGGGTTGTGCCGTGACCGGCCTGGCAGTGGCCCCCAGGCGGAGCGGCGTCGGGGTGGCAGGTGGTCAGCATGATGGCTGGCACGTTGTCGTTGGACCCACGCCGTCAACAGGAGCTCCGCCGCGCTGACCGTGGAACCGCCAGCGGTTCCGAGGAACGTGCCGCCGTGACTCTGCAGCCCATCCTGGAGCTCCCGGACATGACTTCCCCGCGATGTCAGGTCGGCGAATTGCCGAGCTGTCGGAGTGAGTCGAAGCGGCGTGCGTTGCGAGGGTGGTCCGCAGGGCTGGAGCCATGGAAGAGGCGGCGCTGGTGGCGCGCGAATCGGGCCACAGGTCGGCCGCGCTCGGGCGCGCGAGCGGGGTCGGGAGGGCGCCGCGCGTCGCGCGTGCGCGGCCACTCCTGCAAGGCTTCGCGGGCGGCACCCCGCGCGGCGGCCCGCGGGGCCCCATGTCCAGGGCGGCCGCGCCGAGAGCTGGGCGACCCGAGCAGCCTGTAGCTGATGCCTCTGCGCAGCAGTCGCTGGTCGCCCAACCACTTGCGCAGCTCGGTCTCGGAGGGCGCCTGCTCGCCCTCGTCGGTGCTCGTCGGACAGCGGGGGGGAGCCGCGGTGCGTCTCGAGCTTGTTCTGGGCACGGCGGAACTGGGCGCCCCAATCTGCGCCGGCGTCGGCGCGCCATGTCCAGAGAGGCCATGCGGTGAGCGCCTGTTCGCGCGCAGCGGGAAGGCGCGCCCTCGTCTGCGGCCTCGTCGCTGGTGCACGGCCCCTCTGCGTAGACGGAGCTCCGCTGGAGCGGAGGCCCCCCTCGAACCGGCAGCAGGGGGGCGGCCATATTGCGGGCGGCCCATCGCTGGTGCTCCTGGAACCCCCTCTCCCACGCGAGGACCGCGCGGGCGGGGGGGCGGCGCGCGCGGGCGCCCTGAGCCCCGCGGCGGCGGGCCGCCTGCGGGCCCCGCGCAGCGCGGCGGGGCAGGTGGCCGCCGCGGGGCAGCTGCTTGAACCGAGGTGGCGCGCCGGATCGCAGCCGACACCGAGCTCGGAGGGGGCGCGCGGTCTCGTTTCGGGAGGCCCGGGGTTCCTCGGAGGGCCCTCGGAGGCCGCGGGAGCTCGGCGTTCCGAGAGGGATGTGTCAGCATAGAGCGAAGGAGGTTTTGTTGGTTCTCGTTTTTCGGGCGGGTCCTTCTGCGCCCCGACCGCGTAGACGTAGACGCCATGGCGGCTGCCTGGGGGGCTCGCGCGATGCCGACGGCAGCGACGGCTCTGCCGGGGCGTCGGCGGGGGGCCCGGGGGTCTCGACGCGCGCCTGTTGGGAGATCCTCCAAGGCCATACAGTCGGGGCGTTAACCTAAGGAACCCTGAAGACGGAACGAGGCCCCTTTTTTCCACAAGTTAACCTTCGATCTCCTGTCGAGAACAAAAGGAAGACCCGAGGCAAACTGCGAAGCAATCAAGGAACACGGAGCCCCTCCCCAACG